GCCAGACCCGACCAAAAGCGCAGCCACCGTTCAAATTAAACTAGAACTAAAGAAGATTCAAGTTAAAATACAATAAACTGGAGCTTGCCAACTGCACAAACAGGAAAAGGAAACTAAGCACATCAGCAGCTTTTCCTTCTTCTGGAGCCTTTTGGCACACAGAATAAAGGTAGGAGTTAAGAAACAAAACAACAGCTATAAATATAACTCACATTAACCGACATAGCAGCAACCTTTGTTATATTTAGATGGCAAAAAATAAAACATGCAGCAGAACTGCAAAAAACAGTCTCATTGTAATTGGTAAGAAAAACGTGTTAGGGCACCCTTTTCTATGCACAAAATACAAGCAAGAAAATATACTAAAACTGAAAAATAATGAAGTCTCGAACTTTTCTTTTTTCCCAGAACAAAACAAAGCTGGTCCACCTTAAGGCCCACGCGTTTCAAGCAGCTTGGCACTGTGCTGCACATTACCAACATTTCAGTTAAATTAACACAAGCCAGCTGACAGTTAGCCTGCAGCTTGTGCATACCCGGGAAGGCAACAACAGACGCATTTTTCAGTATTAATGCCCCCATAGTTCATGCATAAGCTGTGAAGCTTCAAACCTGTATATTCAAGGAAACTGCTGTACAGTCACAGAACTTAGCAAAGTCACAGATTCGAAGAACCTGGCATTAAAGGCACCGATGATTCAGGTTATGGTTAGACTGATCTGTATTACCTGTAACCTGTGACGTGTATCACAGCAGACATTACAGTGGACAACGGCTCAGCTCAATACACTGCGCAGGTAACTGTGTGCTCTAGCATGGGTATTTAATATCCAATTAGGTATACTTTCCAGTGTGTTTCTGTCACTTTTCTGCTTGTTGGGATGACACACTTTACCTCTAGTCAGTCTTACCTTCTCCATTAAACATAAAGAAACATTAGTGTGTACACATGCAAAGATCTGACAGTCCTTTCTGCGCTTCAGCTTTAAACATGGTGGCACTATCGCTGTTTACTTTGGATCCTCATGCTGGATAAAAGAGTCTAATGTGATGAAAAAATATCTGCCTTAAAATGGCACAGTGTTATTTTCTTCTTCGTTGAAAATATTCGTGCAATCGAAAACTTCCTCTGGGGGGTTGTGTCTGTGGGCTGTCATACCTGGAAATAGTTTAAGTGTGGTTAAAACTCTTTTTGTTGCCAATCTCGAAGTTTTGTGAAAATATTTTCAAAATAAGATCAAGTAACAGTAACATAAATCAGCTGCAGTTAAATCGTGCTGCAAACCGCAAACAGTTAGTGTACAGTTTCATTTTCTCGGTAAACTATCAGCGGGTAGAGAAAAAGAAAAAAGAAGGTGAAAAAAAAGAAAACAAAGAGGCGTTTCGCTGGCCGCAAACTTCCTGTAGCCTCGCGGGACGTCATCTCTGTTGTAGAGAATAAAAACAACGGAGTGGGCGTCGAGGACAGTTTGGTGCTTTCACTGCGGAAGGTTTTCAAGAAATGGTGCAACAACTCCCCAAATCTGGAGCGAAGGAGGCTCCTCGGCTGAAAGCTGGCCACCCTCCGGCAGGTAAGCCGTGTCTCTCTGATAGCTGCCTGCTCTTTTATTTATTTATATTTTAAAACTTTATTAAAGCTTGAGAGTTTTTGTTGTTGTTTTTCCATTCCTTGACCCAGTTACAGAGTCGTTCAGAGCGAGTCGACCCCGCTGCAGTTTTTTTCCCCACCAAAGTAACGTAACTTTTGCCGTTAATTTGACACGCAGTATGCAAAAGTGCGATAGCTGGAGCTGACTGGCTGCTGTGGCATTGGAGTACTAAAGTGCAAGAAGTGTCATCGGCATGCTTTTGTTTGAAGGGAGGCCTGTTATGTGCACCGTGCACTGCTATTCGTGCAAAGCTGCGGAACAGTAGTTAACTTTGCATTAACAGCTGCAGCTTGAAGCGCTGTCACTCATCTGTTTACGAAGACGATCTGACAAGCAAAATATTGTGATACTTTAGTTTGTACGAACTTTTGCATCATTACTATATGGGGGGGTTGGACGCCATGTTTAAATTTTGAATTAGTATTGTAAGGTCCCAAAGTTAAACATGGTATTTGACATTCTAATGTCCCCAAAAAAGTTATAATTGTGCAGTTTCTGGCACATTAATTTTATTTCATTATTATGAGGGACAGACTGCAGAAACTATCATGTGTCCAGGTTTTAAGAAAGTACAGAGTGTTTGATAGTTTTTAGGACTATAGATCACCTCTGCACGATGAAGCGGACAGGGAAGTGACTACAGGTTTTTGAATGAATGCTAGTGTTCATAAGCTTGAACTGCAAGTGCACAAAGTGAGAGAAAGGAGTTGAAAACCTTTGTGGTTTTCACTTTCCACTCCTCTGTCTCAGTTGCATGAAATGCGCTGTAAAACACTGCTTTGACACAGATTGTTTTTTGTTTCTTTCCTCTTTTGCATCACTAGTAAAGGCCGGGGGTAAACGGGTGGCCAAGAAAGGCATGGAAGAGAATGCCACCCATGCAACTCCAGAAAAGGACACCAGGAAGTCTGATAAAATCAGGTATGCTCACACTCTGCAGTAAATGTGCTTGAGCTGAAAACAAATTTAGCTTCAAACATTAGTGTGCAAGAATGCCCAGCAGCATTTCGATCATATAGGTCACTAACTTTGCTTTAAAGCTGAGTATAACTCTGTTTTAAAACCTGTGTGGCAGGTCCCTTGCCACCCCCAACAGGATGCAACAAGTTGGCATACTTCTAACAGGAACCCTCGACAAGGTAAACAAAGCATTAACTCTTAAAAAAGCGAGTTAATTCCTTTCCGAGCCAACTGGGTTAGTTGCAGTGCTTCCAAGTATTGTGGATAATAAACCTCCTTCCTGATGTTTTGCAGCTGAGCCACGACTTCCCAGAAACACCTGTGAGCGTGAGGCACAGTAAGGTGCGCCCCGCGGTGGAGAAGTCGCACTCCCCTCGGATCGTTTTCATCCAGCAGCCGAGGAAGTATTGAACTTTTTCGGGCATGCCCTGGAGGGAACCATGTTAAGTCAGCCGTTTCACACCAATGTGAAGTGTTAGACACGTGAGGAGACTGAGACTGACAGGTTGCCTGTAAAGTGTTGATGGAGTGAAAGCTTTCAAGCTTTGTTTACTTAGAAGGAAGAAAAAAAAAACTCTTTGGGGCCATGCTTGTATGTGAATACTATAAACCAGCACTTAATGCATCTTTTCTGGCATAATAATAGAATTCTATATTTGTATTTGTCATCTGATTAGAAAACAAAAGCATTTGGTGAGTATGAGTATATTTGAAGGGAGGGGGTAAGTTACTGAGTTATATAAGGGTGCTTTTAAGGGGAATCTTCACTTTGTATTGCATGGCAATTGTATTAGATTTATTAAAAAAAATAGGGGGACTGCAAGCCATCACTGTGTTGTCTCTGTTTATTTCTTGGTACAGTTTTCCGTTCATACACTCTAAAATGGCCACAAGGGGGCAGCAAATGGCCATTTATAACTTTAATAAACCAGACTATCTGGTCATGGATTTCACAAGTCAATCTCTAAACTGCGTGCATCTATGCAATATATATGCTTATTTATAATTATTGACTTACCTTTTACTTATTTACTTATAATATATGCTTGCGTCTATCCATCTGGCCTCTTTCATATAGTGACTGAACCGTGATATCGTAACGTTCCAGCAAGTCCACCTTTTATGTAGCCAAACTATTTTAATTATCCCAGTATGTGTGTGCAGTGAGTCATAGTTAAACAGTGAGATGGATGAAAGGGAAAAAACAAAACTCTTCCATAAAAGCTAGCTTGGTCTTGTAGGATTCACGGAGCTGATCTTTGCTTTAGAACATTTTGCCCCCGATTCCATTCGGAGCCTGTCCATGATCTATATCTTGACCATTATTCGGAACCTTTTCCAGGGTTCGGTATCTCCATATGCATTTGGCAATACTACTACGTAGTGGTGATTTTTCTTTCTTTTAATATGTTGGATAAATTGCAGAAACCACCAAGACTCCACGTGTCTGGAAAGTGAAAGTCAAAAGGGATTGCAGAAAAGTGTTATTGTTTTTAGTGTCAAGGCTGTGCTACAGGTCACCTCTGTGCAAGATGAACCAGACAGGTGCTGTGACTATTGGGTTTTAATCATTTTCAGGGATGTCTCTTGAATGCAGGCTAGTAAACTCAAACTGCAGGTGCCATATTTCACAAGGTAGATGGGAGAGAGAGAGAAAGCTGGAGAAAACAAACTAATCTGCTTTCCACTTTCTGCTCCTCAGGATGAGCTGCAAGAGACAGATGGTCAAACAGGAGTTTGAAACAGATTGGATAACATAAAAACTGTAAACAAATCTCTCTCAGCCAGAGTACTGCATGCTGAGCACACACAAGAATGACAGACATTTGTGTGGATTCATGTCAGAATACCAAAGTGACTTAATTGATGTATTTGTTGCTGGATATTTTCAGTTCCATGCAGGTTTATTTCTATAGTGCAAAATCACAAAAGTCACCTGGTGCTTTGTCCAATATTCTGGAGTAAACAGAAATCAAGTGAACCCACTTTGCGACAGTGGGAAGGAAAAAAATCCTTTTTAACAGGAAGAAACCTCCAGCAGAACCAGGCCCAAGGAGGGGCAGACATGTGCCGTGACTGGTTGGAGGGTGACGGGACTTAACGCAATCTAGCGGGGGAAAAGGCAACATTTGAATGACATGCTGCAGTGGTGTTTAAATACACGGGGAGTGCAACGAGATGAGTGGAGAAGAAGTGCTCAGTGCATCAGATGAAGTCTGAGTCTATTTTTCAGGTCTTATTGGAATCTGGAATTTTTCTTTTTTGCAAAATGCAGAAAATATCACAATGTAAAGATTTTTTTTATGTAAGACCCCATTTTCCACCAAAACTAAGATTTCTGTAATCATTCCTTTTTCACAGCAGACTCTTGTCACCTCAGCACAATGTAGAACAATTATCATCATATCGCTTTATATTCTTGCTGTTAACGAATTGGTGTTAAAAAAACAAAAAACTTTTGCAAGATTGCGCTGAGATTAAGGTTTTTCACTCAGAACAAGCTGCATAAAACAATGTTACCTCATGAGGTCACCGCAGACTAAGGTGCACTACGAACTTCACTTGCCACACCAGACTGAGTCAAACCGTATGGAAAACCTTACTCTGGATCTAATTGCAGTTAATTTGACACATGTGCTGTAGTTCATGAAATACTTATTTTTATATTTATTACTCTATGTAAAACTAGCATTTCGATCAAGCTGTAATCTTAAAATGTTAAAGTCAACAGGTTTATGGTCAAACTATGATTCAGCAGTACGCACAAAGCCAATGAGCAACATCCTGCTTTCAGCAGCCACTAATACAGACCTAAACCAATTAGACTTCATTTACATAAAAGCTCTGACTCATGTTTCAACTTCCCTCCTTCTAATGCACATCGTCGAGGAGGAAATTACACAGCATACTTGCTAAGTTTGCAAACAGTGAGACAACTGGCAATTTAATGTATTTAGCTATCAGCTGACTATGAGAGTTTGGAGATTTTAAATTGCCTACATGTGCCCAGAGTGAATATTGTTGCTGAAAAAGGATGACCAGAAAGCATTAATGCAAAGCAGTGTGTTGGTGCAGCAGCCAGCCCATCTGTTGCCATGTTACTCTTTATGTTCTTGGAAGGATTAATGGGGCCATGCATATATTTTACAGACAGTTTAATGTTCACATGTAAAATCGACAACTGCAAAGTAGCACATAGCTGCAATCAGTTATCAGTGCAGAGTAAAACTCCATTTAGGATCTGAAACAAGTAAGCATGTTAATATAGTAATATATATATTAGTATATAAAATTGTCAGAAACTGTTAAAGACTGTATAGACCAAAGCATCCAATTATTGCTTTTCTTCCAATTATATGAAAACAAAAAGACCACCCTGAAGATGTCTAAAGCGTAGCTTGTAAGAATACAATAGCTATACACAATAACAGTGATTCAGCAAAATGTTGTGGACAGCGAGGCAAGTTTCATCTGACTGGACACTTTTGGCTTGATTGCAGCATTTTAGGTTCTGCAACTTTTGGTCCACCTAAATAAATAATGGATTCTTCAATATTTTACAACAGATTTATTCCTGGCAATGTGGAAAGAGCTTGGAACACAAATACCTTTGTATGGAAAACTAATCTCAGTCCGAGGTCCATTCACTACTTCCAACTTCATCACACGATTTAATTTCACTTAAGCACCTTAAAGTTTCATTTTAGAGTTCTCTTCTTTCTACATATATTCCCAGAAGGCTTCTGGAAGAAAACACAGACAGCTGATGCACTTCCTCTGGATTCATCTCCCATCCAAGTGACTTCTTCAGTCTCAGACTGACTGCAAGTTTCTCCAACCAATCATTAAACTGAACTCTGGCCTCAGTGTTAGGCAGTGGTGCTAATTTTGGCATTGTGCAACTGTACTCTTTATAAGGATGGGAAAAACTGCATCCAGCTGACTTAAGAGACAAAGTTGGAGAGGCAGAGCTTAAGATGGTTTGGAAGTGTGCAGAGGAGGGATGGTGGATATAGTAGACAAAGGATATTGAAGATAGAGCTGCTTAGCAGGAGAAAAACCTGAGAAGCATGTATCTAGAGAAAGAGGATATGCAAAAGTTTGGTGTGACAGAAGAGGACCCCATTGATAGGGTGAGATGGAGGCATATGATCCGCTGTGGCGACCTCTAAAGGGAGCATCCGGAAGAAGGAAAATGTGAGGTTTTAGAGAATTTCACACTCCTTAAACTAAATGCTTGCAGCTTGTATCTCTAGCATCCTGTCATGTCCATGAGGCATGCACACAGAAATGAGAGCAGAAGAAAAGAAGCGGAGGAGGAGGAGGAAGGAGGGGTAGATCTGGTTTGTTCTCCTGCTGATCCTTCCCACAGATGACCTCATGCGAGAGAAGGAGGAGTCCGACGTCCCGTAGCCTACCTTGGTGGAGCAAGTGGGGACTGAAGTCGTGTGGAGATACGCTCAGACTGCTGGTGAAACTTTTAGGACTTTAATATCCATGACATTTATCAGGTAAGATTTAAAGCGTATTCACAGATTGTTTGTGTGGTCGTTGTTGTTGTTGTTGTTGTTAGTTTGTTCACCAGTTGGGAGAAGTAGTGTTAAAGCGTGAGAGTTTTAGTGGCAGTTTGTTGGGAGGAATGTCGGGACATGCCCATTGAGCAGTCTTCAAAACCAACGGGACTGACAGCAGTCATTGGGATTTTTATTTTCAGTGGCACAGACATATTCAGTCTCTTTGTTCGAGTTGGTTTCTCTGCTGCTTTTACTTTACGTTACTGAGATGCTAAATTAGGTCAACTTTAAGGGAAGTTATTCGGTTAGTGGGTTAAAAAAAATCGCTTTTTTTTAGCAGGTAAAGTTTCCATTCATTTGGATGTTAAACTCAAAGGAAGCAACTTTAAATCAACTAAAGTAAATTTAATCAAAGTAATTAAAAAGATTTGTTTCATAAACACTTCGTACTGACCGAAGAGGTGGCATTTTAATCGATTAGTCGATGGCAATAATTTTTAAAATGGCCTCATCTACAAAAATCTCTAAAAATATGGTGACTCCGTTGCAAAATTCTGAGCACAGTTTTCAGTAAGTAGCAGTAGTTGTTGTTTATTCCTGTTTTCGTGTGGAGAGAATTATATAAAGGTAGGAAAAGCATCACTTTCCAGGCAGGTTTTATCATGTCTAAGCATTTTAAACTTTTCTGGTGTCATTCTAAGGCTTTGAATGAAATACAGTATGAGTCAGGGATGGGATGGCCTTGGTCCACACCACATGGTGTATTTCCGTTGATATATGGGTGGATCCCTTGTATAATAATCCTTAAAGTCAGTCATGCAAATATATGAGAAACGGGAAACTAGATGTAAGGACTACAAAATTAATCGGATACAGCAGATAAAATTCATCCACTGGGGGAAGTCATCCAACTGCCCACATGTGTGTCAGAATAACTGGGAAAAACTCATTTCAGAGTTGGACTATTCATTGAAGGTGAAGAAAGACCATTGCAGAGTTTCTGTATAGTCGATAAAATGTCAAATGAAAATAAATATTTGGAATTTAAGATTTAATTGGTGCAGATTCGCTTGCTTCAGTGTTGAAGTGACCTAAATTACTTTATCACCAATAATCCGATAAGAAGTGAGGTGAGGGTAGCTTTGGACCAGATGTGGCCATCAGCGTGTTGTGTAAACACTATGAGCGCATCATCTTATGCACAGTCAACGTTATTTTCCCGTTTTCATGGGCATTTAAAAAAAATGGAGGGAGGAGGAACACTTGAATTCAGGGTTCTATTCATAGAGATTTCCAGTGATAAGATTAACTCATATCAATGTTCAGTGGATTGTGTTTATTTTTTATACTGCGTTTCTGAAAGTTTCATATAGTGGTTCGTGTCTGTTATCAGCTTTCTGAGGAAGAACAGTGATAATTGTATTGTCCTCTCATTAGGACACAGATGATTTCCAGAAAGGTCATTACTTTTCTTATGACTGTGTGGTCTTGCATGATGCTAATGCTCTGTATTTTCTGATTGGATGCGGTGGTTTTGAAAGCAAAACCAAATCCAGATATAGCTGTAGGCCTAAGGCTAAAGGACTGTAATCTTTTCCACCCACATAAATTGAGTCATTGAAGTTTGACCACTGGCTGGATATGAGTTCTGCTGCTTTCAGCATATTTCCAGTGGAGGAATCCTCCTGTAACTAAGCCAGGTGCTTTGAAAATCAAAGTTCCAGTTTTTTGTTTTCACCTCCTCGGATATTGCTTGTAAATGTCAGGATGAAGCTTTGATCGTTGATCGCATGTGAAGTCATAGTTTCAACATGCTCTCTGATCACTGTCTCTGATGAAGTCTTCATAACCTTAAAGCCTTCAGGCGTTCAGCCTTCAGAGAAGCTGCCACAACATTTGCTATTTCCTCCACTCAGCTGCTTGTTTCATTTTAGCTCTCGGGGCACTTTGCCTCTCTAGTGTTGATTTTTTTTCCCCCCATTTCAGACTCAACAGGTGGGACAGGCTTTGCTGCCGACAATCATGCTGATGGTCAGTTAACGGGAATATGCTCTGTATTAACTTTCCGACATAATTTCAGGCAATTTTACGCTGATTATGAAACCATTAGAGAGGATTTGCATGCCTCTGTGCCAAGGCTAGAACTACCCCAATTGTCTGTTATGAGGTGTTTGAATTGCAGGGCAGTCATCTTATTGAAAGTCCCTCAAGAGTCTGCTTCCCACTCTCTGCAGAGCCTGGTTCCCATGGTCCTCAGCCAGTTGGCTTATAACAGATGCTGGCATCAGAGTCGTATTGTTATGGCTGAGGAGGGAAGGTTACTGGAGCCAGTGACCTGACAGACAGCACACAGTGAGCTGGTGCTGATAATAAGGATAATGGTTTTGTCCTATTGAAAGGACCCAGTCCATGGTTCCAACAGGAAAGCCAGATTTTTAGCGGCTTTTAGGGTTCAGGACTCCGTATGTGAGCCTACCGGATGGGTTCTGAAAGCCTTGGTGTAAAAATCTGGTGTGAGTAAGGGTCTTACTGCACATTAGCTTGAGTGTAGCCTTATGGGAGTGCCCTATTTTGTAACTACATTAGCGAAAAGTTTAAGAGTGCTACCGTGTTACATATAAGTCTCCCTGAAACTCCATCCGTTGTCATGATTAATTGCAACTTATTTTTTGTTTAGCTCTTCCCTCACATGATTTACTTGCATGCTATCAAAACCTTCTGTAATGTGATTGCACAGATTTACTATCAGTGCAAATCAGAATTTTTCCTGTAGCAATAATCTCGTTTCTTGCTTTCAGAATCTGCATCTTCATATACAGATATCTGATTTTAGAGATTACTTTATCCCTAACCTGTTACACATACTTGTCTGTTTTGGTTTGGTGCGTTAAGACGTGCCAAAGCTGTCACTCAAACTGCTGGACAGCTTCCAGTCGACTTGTTTGCAGTTGCAAAGCGAAGGCCAATTGCAGGATTTTGTGACCGTAGCCATGTGATTTCCATCTACGTTTGAAAAGCTTAACGGCGGTTTGTGTCTGATGAATGTGGAAACTTTCAAGGAAGGAATCCCCTCTGCGTTATATATCAAGAGGAAGATTATGATGCGCATTGTGTGTGGAATTTACAGAAAACGCATGCGAGACACTTTTGCATCTCAAAGCCATTAAAGTGGTTTTAGGGCATGTTGTGACATAATGACACAAAGCAGAAACGGTAACCCCCTTGAGCTCTTGGAACCTGAACAAAGCACAAATTGTTACAGGCTGTTATGGAGTTCGTGCCACCCTGTGGGGTAGACGCTCTGTTGAAGTTATGGTAAGGACCTGCAAGAGTATTATACCAGCCTATTTTATGTTTACTCTTTAAAAGATGTGCATGTGTCAGACGCAACATAACATCACCATCAGGAAATATTCTATCGCATTCTCAGTGCTGGGACGACAGATTATGTACACACCTTTTGGCAAAGTGGCAAAGCTGTGTAATTGCATTAGCTCAAGTTTCATAAAGGGAATGGCAGCTTGTGTATCAAATTACTTTCCTTACCATTTAATTGCCACATTTCCCCTCGGGTCATCTAATAAAACACTGCAGAATCACAGCCATTTATTTGGAGTTTGTCTTGTATTTTAGTAATGCTGTTGACATTTGCAGAATTTAATAGCCATAAAAAAATGCCCGGCATTTCCTGCAGTATAAGTTGAAAGTCCAGGTGTGAGAGCGAGTATAGTGTGTATGTTTTCCCATATCTGAGCATGTGGTTAGGCTGTGTGTGTCTAAATCAGGTGATTGTTTGGAGGTGCTTCTTAGTACCAGCTGTTACTGATTTACATTTTCAAGCTATTTTTGAGAACTCCAGAGATGCTGTGATAAAGAGAGAGAGGGTCATATATATATAAACCAAAAGAACATGTGTAAAAACAGCACAACACATTATTTGGAGTATTCACTTTATTTGTATTTCAAATGAATTTGATGATTATTTAGTTGACACTAGTTTAGAGTCTGTGGGAGGAATGTGCGATGACCTGTGTGCAATATCTCCTTTGCATGTGTGACTGGTGTTTGCAAATTGCACATAGTTGTGTGAGTTGTAGTCTCATCTGTGTGCGGCTTGTTGCTCTCCTTCATTGTAGAGTGGGCTGGACCAGTCTGCAGCAAGCACCCGTGAAGGTTGCTGTAGACGAAGAAAGCAGGCAAAGCCAAACTCGATGGTTTGTTAGCAGTTTTACTGTGGCCACATGTCGCCATTGTGGAACGTGTGCTGTTTTCCACTTGCTTTTATGTTCTCCTGATCTACATAAATACATTGGTTATGTTTGGAAGTATGGAAGTGTTTGGGTTCCCACAAACTGATGAGCCAGTCGTCAACAAAGAGCTGCTGTGTGCAAATGTTTTGTACCCAGACCAATTGTATTCCTGTCATAACAAGGAGTTAGGAAAACAAATCTTATTTGGATCAGTGAGATGTCAGCGTTTACCCGTCTTTGCTAAAACACACACCTGAAAAACCTCGTCATTTTGGAGCCATATAGCCAGCTTACAGAATAGTAACCTGTCTCAAGTGTTTATTGGTATTTGTTTGTTCATTATTACTTTTTTATGGAAAATGAATGGAAATACAAAAGTACAAACACAGCGGTGAAGATCTATCATTTGTAATGCCCTTTTTTTTGTTTGGTGCACTGGCGCTTTGAGTCACAAAAAGAATTATAGCACTGATTGATAAAACCTTAATAGAGATGTGTTGCGTGGACTTCCTGTAGACTTTGCGCACTGCTTGTTAATGTTTTACTCTTACTCAAATACCAGTCTCTCACAGAAGTGAATACCAAACTGAGTCTAAGTAGCAACAATTTTGCTTTATTTATTTTTACTGCAGATTTTTATTTCCACTTCACTGCTGCAGCAATTTAGTATCAGAGTGATAAGAGAGTTTAGTCATAATTGAGAACAAGAGATGAGGACGGAAATTGACGCAGCATTGTTACTCAGTG